TTTGCTTCCTTTCTCTATTCTCTCTTAATTGTTATATATATCATTAGCTTTTTTTCTTTTGTGGTTTTGTATTTTTATTTTATATGTGGAGTTGCTTCAGTTTCTAGTTAGCTCTGTACTATTTGAATGTTGCCTTGGCAAGCGTTTGAGAAGTTCCAATGTTTTGTTCATGGTTTCTTATGGCGTTTAAAATATAAAATTACATACTTTTATTTCGATTTTCAAAAGTTACTATTGAATCTGTAGCATGTTGTTTTCCTCAATCTTTTTTTTTTTTTTTTTTTTGAGGCAGAGTCTTGCTCTGTCACCCGGCTGGAGTGTAGTGGGCACGATCTTGGACACTGCAGCCTCCGCCTCCCAGGTTCAAGCAATTCTTTGTGCCTTAGCCTCCTCGAGTAGCTGAGATTACAGGCATACAACACTACGCCCAGGAAATTTTTGTATTTTTAGTAGAGATGGAGTTTCACCATGTTGGGGCGCAGGCTGATCTCAAACTCCTGACCTCAAGTGATCCGGCCCACCTCAGCCTCCCAGAGTGCTGGGGATTACAGGCGTGAGCCACTCGTGCTGAGCCTGTTTTTCTCAGTTTGCCAAAATTTAATCTATGGTAAATTATTACTTGTAGAAATGTGTCACAAGTAATGTGTTGTGATAACTGTATTCTGTAGAGTGATCTAATTTGATGTTACTGATGGTTACTAGACTATCATTGAAGAGAGGATGTTTCAGGTTGAATATTAATCATGATTTTAGTGTATAATTTTAGTAAAGTGACTATCTTACTTTTTTTTCTCTGATTATAAATCAGTGATTCGCATCTTAAAACCATTAAACCCTATTTAGAAATTGTTTTTTCTTGGTAGGAATGGTGATGTTATTCATCTTAGATGTTTTGAATTACCTGGCCAATGCTTACACTTTTATTATTCATAGGAAAGTGATGAGGCACTGACCCAGCATCAGGTCTAGATTTATACACAAGACTATGATTATACACTATATTTTCTAGGGTAAATTAAGGTGGCTGAATCTTAAGAGAGAAGAAATTCTTAGAAAAAAAAAAAAAAAAAAGAAAATCCCTCTTTTCCTCCCTAACAAATAACACAACCACCCCCCTTTTACATGTAAATAACACATCAAACTATATGCAAAATCAATATTGACCTATAGTTTTGTTTCCACAGAATTGAAAACCTACTTTTTTTAGGCATTGCATTTCTGTTTATATAATTTTTTCATGCTTTTGAAAGCAAGAATGCTTTAGTTCAGTGACTGTTACCCATGTTTTGGCCTCAGTCTCCTTTATTTTATTTTTATTTTTATATTTATTTATTTTTTTGAGACAGGGTCTCACTCTGTTGCCCAGGCTGGAGTGCAGTGGTGTGATCATAGCTCGCTGCAGCTATGAACTTCTGGGCTCAAGTTACCCTCCCACCTCAGCCTCCTGAATAGCTGGGACCACAGGTGTGTGCCACCATGCCCAGCCATTCTGGGCTCAAGCAGTTCTCCTTCCTTGGCTTCCCAAAGTGCTAGGATTACAAGTGTGAGCCACTGCTCCTGGCCTTCAGACTCCTTTGATAATCCTGTGACAACTATAAGTCCTCTGCCCTGAAAAATATATAAAGATACAGAATTTTGTGTAAATGTTCATTTATCATAGGCTTTACCTTATAGTAGTAACTTAAAAACATTTTTTGAGCATTCATAACTCATTTTTTAGAGGAAGCTCAGAGATAAAAGTTTAAAAAGAAAAGAAGGATACCTGTGGTTGGGAGTGTGTGTGTGTGTGCTCTCAACCCCATTTGTGGGCTTCCTTTCTACCTTCTACTCCCCAGCCTCCTTTTATTAGCTGTGTCAATTTGAAAGATTCTGACTGGTCAGAGTGCAGTGGTGTTTACAACTAATTGATCACAACCAGTTACAGATTTCTTTGTTCCTTCTCTAATCCCACTGCTTCAGTTGACTAGCCTAATAAATAAATAAATAAATAAATAAATAAAATAAATAAAAAGTTCCTAAATTTGATTTTTGCTGGGGACAGGTTTAAGTGACACTTCTCCAGATGAAGGGTTAATAGAGGACTTGACTATAGAAGACAAAGCTGTGGAGCAACTGGCAGAAGGATTGCTTTCTCATTATTTGCCAGATCTGCAGAGATCAAAACAAGCCCTCCAGGAACTCACGTAAGCTAATAAAAAACCAGATATACACTAATTTCCTTTGTGGCATAGTCATAATTTGTATACTTGTATACTGTGTTAAGACATAATATTTTTTAACATGGAATTATAATTGAGTATGTCTATATCTTTATTGATAGCAGATGGGAATAGAGGAGTACGTAGTATTCTAAATGTAAAAAGTGAAATGAATACTCCTAGGGTGTTTGATCTCTTCTGAGAAGTCCTCCTAAATCTTACCTAGCCTCTGTGATTAGGTTTGGTGTTTTATCATTATTTTATTAGAGTATTAACCTGTTGGGGATTGTTCAGGTGGATATATACCTGTTTCCGAGTAGAGTTGACAAACTGCCTCCATAAAAGTCACACTTGTTTTCAGTTGCTAGTTCAAATGAGTTGCCAGAGATCTGTAAGTATCTTTCCTGAGATGATCTGTTTCATTCCCAGTAGATAACTTTACTAGTAAGTAAAGATGGGGCCGGGCGTGGTGGCTCATGCCTGTAATCCCAGCACTTTGGGAGATCAAGGCGGGTGGATCACGAGGTAAGGAGATTGAGACCATCCTGGCTAACACAGTGAGACTCTGTCTCTACTAAAAATACAAAAAATTAGCCAGGCGTGTTGACGGGCGCCTCTAGTCCCAACTGCTCGGGAGGCTGAGGCAGAGAATGGTGTGAACCCGTGATGGGGAGCTTGCAGTGAGCCGAGATCATGCCACTGTACTCCAGCCTGGGCAACAGAGCGAGACTCCGTCTCACAAAAAAAATAGAAAAAAAAAAGATTGGAGGTTATGTTAAGAAAACGGATAAGATAGAACAGAACCCATAGAGTGGGATCAGTATACAAAAACATATACTCAGGCTTTATCAGCTCCCATCCACAGACAACAGACTCAGCTTCTGCCTCCTCCTGGGTCAGAGCCTCTCTGGATAGCCCAGGCTGGCCTGTCATTTCTTTCTGTGGTGGTCATCTTTACACTGGCCACGAACTGCTGCTGCTCTGAGACCTACCCTTTGAAAACTTACTTAAGAGGCCTTTATTAGGGCAAAAGGAGAGGAATAATAACTGTGCTAATTTTATAATTATAAGTAATGTTATAATCCTTGGTGTTAAGGTGCTAAATGCATATGAAAGGATCTCGGCTCACTGCAACCTCCGCCTCCTGGGTTCAAGAGATTCTCTTGCCTCAGCCTCCCAAGTAGATGGGATTACAAGTGGCGCACCATCGCACCCAGCTATTTTTTTTTGTATTTTTAGTAGAGACGGGTTTCACCATGTTGGCCAGGCTGGTTTTGAACTCCCGACCTCAACTGATCTGCCCACCTTGGCCTCCCAAAGTGCTAGGTTTACAGGTGTGAGCCACTGTGCCCAGCCACATTCTCTGGAACCTTCTTTGAGAGTGGCCAGACTTACGGGTCAGGAAAGCACTATACTTAAAATTACAGTTTTATTATAAAGGGTACAGATCAGGACTAGCCAATGAAGAGATACACAGGGTACTGCCTGGGAGGTTCCTGAACACAAAACTTCTGTTTCCTCTCCCAGTGAGAGGAAACCCCTGCTGCCAGCACATCAGTGTGTTCAGCAGCTTGGCGTTTGAGCCTGCAGTGAACTGTGGTCACGCCACTGCTCCCTAGCCTGGGTGACTGAGTGAGACCGTATCTCCACAACAAAAATTCAGTCTTTTAATCTATGTACTTGGAATGTCTCTATTATTTAGATGTTCTTTGTTATTTTTCATTAGTCTCCCATCTCGAAGCTCTAGGGGCCCATCATGAGTCACTTTATTAGTGTAAACTCATGTGTGATCCAGGGAGCTCATGGATAACAAAGACACTTCTGTCACTTGGAAAATTCCAAGGATTTTAGAAGCTCTGTGCCAGAAACCTGGGACAAAGATCAGACAAATTCTTTGTTAGATAACAGGTGTCTGTTCAGATCTTTTGCTTATTTTAAAATTGGATTATTTTTCTTATCGTTGAGTTTTAAGAGTTCTTTGTATATTTTTGATATGAGTCCTTTATGAGTTTTGCAAATATTTTCTCCAAGACTGTGGTTTGTCTTATTACTCTCTTTACAGTGTCTTTGGCAGAGCAGGAGTTTTTAATTTTAATAAATTTATTTAATAAATAAGAAAAAATTAAATCAGTTTTTTCTTTTATGAATTGTGCTTTTGGTATTGTATCTAAAAACTCATCACCAAACCAAGGTCACCTAGATTTTCTCCTGTGTTTTCTTCTAGAAGTTCTAGTTTTGCATTTTACATTTAGACCTGTGATTTATTTTGAGTTAGTTTTTTTTTTTTTGTTTTGAGACGGAGTTTCGCTCTTGTTGCCCAGGCTGTAGTACAATAGCGCGATCTCATCTCAACGCACATGCCCATCTGGTTAAGCGATTTCAGCTGCGCGCTCAGAGCCGCTCCCCTGCGAGCTGCTGGATTACAGGCAGCGCCACCTACGCCCTGTCTACTTTTTGTCTTTAGTGGAGATGGGATTTCTCCGCAACCTATGTGTCAGTCTCGGTCTCAGACCTCCAGCGTGATCCGTCCCCGCCTCGCCTCCCAAAGTGTTGGGATGCAGGCGGACCAACACCGCGCCCAGCTAAATTTTGAGTTTTAATGGCGAGCTGCTAAGGTCTGTGTTTTATTAATAGATTCATTTCTTTGCGCATGGAAAGCCAGTTGCTTCCAGCACCAATTGTTGTTGTTTGTTGTTTGAGACAGGTCCTCACTGTTTGCCCAGGCTGATGCATAGTGCAAGCCACTGCCCAAGCTCAACTGCAGCCTTGATATTCTGGCTCAAGTCCCCTCCCATCTCAGCCTCTCCAAGTAGCTGGGAGACTAACAGCGCCACAGCACCACACCTGGCCAATTTTTGCTATGTTTTGTAAAAGAGAACAAGGTTTCACTCCATGTTGCCCTGCCTGACTCTTGAATTCCTAGGCTCAATGGATCCTCCTGCCTTGGCCTCGCCAAAGTGCTGGATGCACAAGCGTATGACGACCCCGCGTACCCCACACTATTTTTTGAAAAAGACTATCCCAGTTTCTCCACTGCATTGCCTTTGCAACTTTGCAAAGAGAGAAGTTGATTTTTCTGTGTAGATACTTATTCTTAAGGGTTTTCTCGTTGCTGTTCCATCTGATCAGCTAGTGTTGCTTCTTTCTGCCCAGTACCCATGCTGTCTTGATTCTGTAGCTTTTTGTGTGTTATTGTTCTTTTTTTTTTTTTTTTTTTTTTTTTGTTTCTCGAGACACGGTCTCACTCCCCTGTTGCCTCGCCTGAAATGGCATGTGGGGCACGATCTCAGCTCACTGCACCGATCTGCCTCTGGGAAAGGTTAATTTCTGCCACCTCACCTGCCCAACCGTAGGTCCTGGATGAATACAGGGTGTGGTGCCAAGCCACACTGGGCAATTTTTGTTAATTTTTTTTCGTAGAGATGCGGGTTTCAACCCTGTGTTGGCAAGGCTTTGATTCTGAACTCCTTGAACCTCAGGTGATCCCGCGCTTGGGCCTCCAAAGTGCTTGGAATTTACAAGGAGTGACTCGTTCCACTTGTGGCCTGGCACGATTCTGTAGGCTTTATAGTCAAAAGTAATTGAAATGGCGTAGCTGTGAGTTCTTCCAGTTTTTTGTCTTCCATATTGTAATTGGCTTCGTATGTTCTTTGCCTTCCATATGTAACTTCAAACAGTTTTTGTGGATATCTTATAACAATAACTTGCTGGATTTGGATTGGCATTGCACGAATCCTTAGATTCACGTTTGGAAGAATTTACAATCTTTAAAAATATTGATGCTGGGCGTGGGGTTTGACACTGGTATGCCAGCACTTTGGGAGCGCTGGGGCAGAAGGATCTCTTGAGGCAGGAGTTGGAAAAGACCAGCCTGGGGTAAATGGTAATGAGACCCTGGTCTCACTACAAAATATTTAAAAAGTCAACCGACAATGTGGTGTACACCCTGTAAGTGATAGCTTAGCTTGGAGGCTGAGGCAGAGGAATTCCCTCTGAACCAAGCGAGCTTTCTAGGCTGCAGTTGAATGATGATCATGCCCCTGACCAGTCCGCAGCCCTCGGATGACAGAGTCAAGAAACGCCTATTCCTGAAACAATCACAGTTTTGACCGTCTTTTTAATCTGTGGTACTTGGAATGTCTCTCTATTATTTAGAGATTTCTTTGCATTATTTTCGTTAGAGTTAAATTTTTACATTTAAGAATTCAGCTGAACATAATTTTGTTACTATTTTGTACCACAGTATTTCCAGCTGGGGAATGCAGAACTACAAATAAACTGTATTGTTTTTTAATTCAAATTAAATGTGCTGGTTAAGCAGGAAAGAAATGACTTCCTGTATATTTAACCTTGTATTCCTGAAAATCTTTCTTGCTTGCATAATAGTTTTTTCAGGAAGGTTTCTTGTTTGAATCTTTGGGAATTCCACTAGGAAATCATCGGGGAACAAAGACAGTATTTAATTCTTTTAGTTTATTATTTTTTTTTTGAGACGGAGTCTTCGCTCTGTCCGCCCAAGCGGCAGTGCAGTTGGGCGGCGATCCTGGCTCAACTTGCAAGCCTCCCGCCTCTCTGCGTTTTCAAACAGCCCATTCTCCTGGCCCCAGCCTCCGAGTTCAACGCTGAAACTCACATCGCGCTCCCGCCACCCCGCACCGCCACCGCCCCGCTCGTTTTTTGTTATTTTTTAAAGTAGAGCCGGGGTTTTTTTTTCAACCATGGTCTTCGATCGTCCTGACCTTTTGATCCTGCCCGCCTCGGCCCTCCAAAAGTGCCTGGATTACACGGCGTGAGCCACCCGCGGCCCGGGCGACAGTCATATTTTCTTTCTTCTCCAGTTTTTTGTATCACCTGCTATTCTTATTTCTTTTCTCCTAAACAGTTTCCACCGCCTTAACGTGATGAATGCTTGCAATTGGAATTGTGAGACGCGGTCCTTGCAAACTGAAAAAAGCAAAACGTGCCAGATACACACGGAGCGGCCTCTGATGTATTTTGCTGAAGAGACTGTTGGGGGAATTTGTAAATCCTTTCTTCCTTCAAAATGTTTGGTAAAAGACCAGCGAAGCCATTCTCGCGGTTCCTGCGCAACAGTCTTTTTTGGCGAAGGTATTACTTACCCTGGTTGAATTTGTTTCTGAAATAACATACTAGGCCACTCCTCCCCACTTCTGTTCTTCCTTGTAATATAGTTTTGGTAAGTTTTGTATCTTTTTCAAGATTAGTCCCATTCCATCCAATGTTACAGCCGTATAGAGCACCCTCCGAATGTTGAAAGTTCAATCATTTATTATCCTTTCTTAATGTCTGGATCAAAGGTTGTGCGAATCTATTGCCTCTTTCATGAATAATCAAACTAAAACTTCTGCGCGTTCTTTTTGTTTGGCTCGATTTGTCCGCAACTACCGAGGTTTTTCAATTTTTATTGATCTTAGAAACATCTTGTTTCGGTTCATTGATTTTTTTGTTTTTTTCCCTTCTAAAATTGTTTTTCCTAGTTCTATACAGCCCTATTTTTGGCGTTGTTCGGCTTATCTGGCCGGCATGGCTTACTTGCTGGGTTTTTCCTTCTCATCACCATTCTGTTATTTCAACTAAATTCATATGAGATACAATCATAGGACCCAAGCTGAGGGACCAAAGTTATTAATTATTTTATTTTATTTATTTAACTATTTGTAGAGACGGGGTCTCACTCTGTCAGCATGGCGTAGTACGGTGCGGTGTGAATTTTAACCACTCAACTGCAGCTTCTGACTCCTCGCGTTCAAGCAATCCTTTTCCTGCCCAGCCTCCCGACAGTTAGCTCGGACCCACAGGTGTTGTTGGCGCATCACATCCAGCTAATGCTTTTTTCTTTTTGTTAGTCTTTGTAGAGGTCCTCGGCTTTTTGTTGTCCTGCTGCTCTCAAATTCCTGCTTTGCAAGCATCCTACCTTCCTTTGGGCCCCCCAAAATGCTTGGGAATTCATACCAAATGAAACCCATTTGTGTCTGCCCAAGAAGACAAATTTTATGAACCTCTAGGGTAATGCGCAGACCCCAGTTGGGCCCGGATGTGTAGAGAAAAGCTTGTTAATTGCCGTAGCCTCTCGTTGGCCTAGTTCTTGTTTATCATTATTTCTCTAGATGTACAGTTTCTACAAGCAAATCACATCATATTTTTCTTTGTAGCATTCTTTAAAATATTCAGGTAGGTGACCCTTTTAATGTCACTTATTCCTGTGATCCTAACATTGATTGATGTGGAAAGAAATATCAAGGAAGTTGGCTTCTCTTCCTCAATGAGTTTTGAATCCTAATTTTAAAGAGAAACATTAGAAATTATCTGGTCTGACCTTCTCACTTTGTAAAAGAGGAGATTTAGGCCAGAGAAATAAACTGAATTTCTGAGATCACATAACTGGCTGTTGGCTGGGGAAAGCTATGATTTCCAGTCCTATGCTTTTTTCATCTTGCTGCTTAATTATCCTTTTTGACTTACTATCCCTTGATACTGCATCTTTCTCAACTCTAATCTGAAAACCATTGTTCCTCATTTCCTTTATGGGAATGTTGCAATTTTAAGATATACAAAACATAGAATTTCTTGGGCAAAATATTACAAAAAACTTCTTTTTTGGAATAATACAGAGAGTTGTTAAAAGTAACAGGTAATAAAATACTTTTAAATGATTGGATTATTTTAGTTATTAGAAATTGAAGCAAGAATAAAAGACACAAAAAGTTATCAGAATGTGGCTTTAGAATATTATTTTGAAAAATCCTATTCTATATTAAATAAACCTTGGAGAGTTAATACGTTTCCTACTTAATTTCTGTTACAATTAACCAAGATGAATATGATTCCTTTTAATGGGCCAGTATTTTAAATATGTAGAGTTTGTCTTGGCTGTGTGTTTTTGTTTCAGACAGAACCAAGTTGTATTGTTAGACACACTGGAACAAGAGATTTCAAAATTCAAAGAATGTCATTCTATGTTGGATATTAATGCTTTGGTAAGTATGATTTAGTTGATGTAACTTAATGACATCTTAGCAATAGCTAGATTTTAAGTTTAGAATTTGTCTTTTTAACAAGAAACCTTGATTGAACTTCTATTGTGTTGAATTGTTATCTTTCAAATGTTGAATTTGTAGTAATTCAACTATGAAATTTAGTAGTTGTAGTAATTTAGAAATTGTAGTAATTTGTAGAAGTTGAATTTATTTGTGCATTTGGAATAGACCTGCTCATAATTGAAGACTTAGAAAAGAGGACTGAGACTGGGCACAACGGCTCATGCCTGTAATCCCAGCACTTTGGGAGGCTGAGGCTGGAGGATTGCTTGAGCCCAGCAGTTCAAGACCAGCCTGGGCAACATAGTGAGAACCCATCTCCACAAAAAGTAATTTAAAAAAATAGCCCGGCATGGTGGCAAATGCCTGTGGTCTCAGCTATTCCAGGAGCTGAGGTAGAAGGATTGCTTGAGCCTAGGAGGTCGAGGCCACAAGTGAGCTGTGATTGTGCCACTGTACTCCAGCCTGGGTGACAAAGGGAGACCCTGTTTCAAAAAAAAAAACAAAAAACAAAACTAACTGGAAGTAAAGAACCTTTGGGGTACCATTTTTTTTTCTTTAAAGAAAGTGTATTTCTCTTTACCAATTACATGTTTTCTTAAATTAGCATTTTATCTAATTATATGGCATATTCATAATGCTATAATAAATTAATGCCATAGGCTGAAGTGGACACTTTGAGAATGATCAATTATAGCTTTCAATATAAATAGTTGAACAGTTAAATTTCATCAGAAGTTCTATAGCTTTTTGATGAGAGGAAGTGATACTCTTTATTATAAGAAACAAGGAATTAACAAAAAGGGAACTTGTTGCTACCTTTATTTTCTGATGAACATTAAAAATAGTTTCGTTTGTGGGCAGGGCATGGTGACTTATGACTGTAATCCCAGCACTTTGGGAGGCTGAAGTAGGAGGGTGGCTTGAGGCCTGGTGTTTAGGACCAACCCGGCCAACATAGCAAGACCCCATCTCTATTAAGAAGAAAAGAAGCTGGGTTTGCATGACTGTAGCCATTCATGCATACCTCAAAAAATGGACTTTTCTTTGGACAAAGATGGTTTACTAATGTTTTCCATTTATAACAATTAAAAACAAAATTCATATTCTCTGGCATTAGACAGAGGCCTGCGGAAGTAAATACAGAGTCATCTGCCCGGTAGTTCCTGGTTTCTTGTGAGGGAGGTGGGCAAGGCTACACTGACCTACTTTTGTGTTCCCCACTGAGATCCTGTTGCAACAGAAGGAATATTTGTTGAATGAATGAATGTTGAATGAATTAACCAAGCAGATGTAATACTGTTGCTTTGGTCTGAAGGGGCAGGATGGAGTCTTCCTCTTTTTTCTTCTCTTAGTCAAGAGTAGTTTTTATTATCATCTGGGAACTGAAAACTGGAAGGCCCAGGATATGTAAAAAGGGACTGTAACTTCTGAGATAATCAGACAGTGACTTTACTTGCAGCTACATTAAGGCTGTGAATCTCTCTACTGACATTTCCTTCATTTCTTCTCTTTCTGTAACCTTGTCTGAAAATAGGGTGCTTTTCTCCTTCTCTGTGACATCTCTAGGCTTGCATTATCCTCCCATCTTCTCCTGACATAAGACTTCATTTTAGATTATGCAGGTTGGCTGAGTTGTAAAGTCTGTACTTACAATTCCTCGAGAATGAAAGTGTCCTCACAGAGATCATTCTGCTTAATCTGACTAAAAGAGCCCAAGGAATAGGATTAAACTTGTCCACAGTCTTCTCTGTTCAGGGCTCTGTGGCCACAGCTTGGGTTTTCCATATGGGCAGACACTTCACTTAAACTATTTCATGTGCTCTGGCTCAGTCTCTCTCTTGTAAAGGCAGAGAGAATGCTTTACTTTTCTTAAATGAAACTGATAGCATTGTTAGATAGTCTTATCTGAAATTTTATAATTACATGTTTTTAAAGCAAAATATTGTCTATTCCCATCTTAATATGTCTATTTTATATTTAGTAATACTTTTGTCTAGCTGAACTAAATCAAATGTCTTTCAAATCCTACTAATGATATAAGGAAATCTTTATTTTGGAATTAAAATGTTGAGATAAGGCTGTAAAAATTTTGACCAATTTAGGAAGCACGAACTGTCATTTATATATTGACTTATTTATTCATTTTGATATTTTAGTCTATTTTAACTTGACTTTTCATTTATTTTTCCACGTTAAGTTTGCTGAGGCTAAACACTATCATGCCAAGTTGGTGAATATAAGAAAAGAGATGCTGATGCTTCATGAAAAAACATCAAAGTTAAAAGTGAGTTGAAAATTCTTTCACATTCTTTACAAAAGTAGAGGTTTAATTGTTGTGTTGGTTTTTTTTTTTTTTTTTTTTTGAGACAGAATTTTGCTCTTGCCGCCCAGGCCGGAGTGCAATGGTGCGATCTCAGCTCACTGCAACCTCTGCCTCCTGGGTTCAAGTGATTCTCCTGCCTCAGCCCCCGAAGTAGCTGGGATTACAGGCGCCCGCCACCACACCGACCTAATTTTTGTATTTTTAGTAGAGACGTGGTTTCATCATGTTGGCCAGGCTGTTCTCAAACTCCTGACCTCAGGTGGTAACGCCCGCCTTGGCCTCCCAAAGTGCTGGGATTATAGGCATGAGCCACTGTGTCCAGCCAGTATTCTTTTATTTTTATTTGTATTTTTTTTGAGACAGAGTCTCGCTCTGTTGCCCAAACTGGAGTGCAGTGGCCAGATCTCAGCTCACTGCAAGCTCCGCCCTTCGGGTTCACGCCATTCTCCTGCCTCAGCCTCCCGAGTAGCTGGCACTACAGGCGCCCGCCCCCTCGCCCGGCCAGTTTTCCGTATTTTTTAGTAGAGACGGGGTTTCACCGGGTTAGCCAGGATGGTCTCGATCTCCTGACCTCTTGATCCGCCCGTCTCGGCCTCCCAAAGTGCTAGGATCACAGGCTTGAGCCACCGCGCCTGGCCCAGCCAGTATTCTTATTTTGACTGTTATACCCTCATTTACAATAGCATAATTAATTCATGGTACATTGTTTTCTTTTAAAAAATGTCATTGTTTATGAAATATTAGAGACAGGGTCTCACTATGTTGCTGAGGCTGGTCTTAAACTCCTGAGCTCAAGCTCCCCTGGCCTCGACCTCCCTAAGTTCTAGGATTATAGACATGAGCCACCGCATGCAGCCTAAAAAATGTCATTTTTTTTGAACTACACACTGAGCTTTTTTACTAATAGCTGGGTTGATAGGCTTAGATTCTCTGGATATGCACTACAGTTCTCATTTAATAACAGCTTAGAGCAACAAATTTTTTTTGAATCAGAAGGACCTTAAATTATCCCAAATTTAAATGTCCAAGATGAAATTTATTAGTGTGAATGAATTACCTCAAAGCAGAGCACTATTATTTTCAAATTAGACCATACCTGTAACCCCTGATTGCTCTCTTGGTTTTTAATTTTTTTTTTAACACAGAAAAGAGCGCTTAAACTGCAGCAGAAGAGGCAAAAAGAAGAGTTGGAAAGGGAGCAGCAACGAGAGAAGGAGTTTGAAAGAGAAAAGCAGTTAACTGCCAGACCAGCCAAAAGGACATGAAAAGTTGTGTTTGTGTGTTTTCTTCTCCTGTCCCATATTTGCGTTATGATGACTTAATGTAGACTGAAGTTGAGGTAGTGCCTTATGCCATTATGTCATATGTTGAAATCCTTATTCCGGTATTACTGTGTCTCCATGCCTTTTTTCCAAGTAGCAGACGTCATGTTGCTTGGTTTTTGATATTTATATGTAAGTTTTTCAAATTTTGTTTAATTTTAAAATTTATTAATTTGTAGTCTTGAAATTGCTTTATAAGCGAAATGGAGTTTGACTTATTCGTGGGTCAAACGTCGTATGTTAGAATTGTGGGAGGGTGGGATTTTTTTTAGCGTGTCGTGATGAAATACGAGTTTAAAGAGGCTGTCCAGTTCTGTATTTAGTGAATGACTTGGTCTTTCTGGTAATAATGTGATTTTGTTTGAAGTAATTGCCTTTTCATTGCTAGGTTAGAGACGAGATGCCGCGTGTTTAATCACCTCCCCTGGAAAGAGAGTGAGTGAGCCTTTTAGAGAAGCGGGCGGGATGGATTTTGGAAGTCGAAGACTCTAGGTAGCGGTGGGTTTTGGGAAAAAGTCTTCGAGAGGAGTGATATTCTTTCATTATAACAACAAGGAAGATTACAAAAATAGGAACTTGTTGCTACGCCTTTCTTTTCTGTGTTGAACATTAAAAATAGTTTGGTTGTGGGCTGGCATGTGGCTTATTGGAGAGAGAAATGAGCGTTGTTAGATACATAATGGAGAAGTGCATGACGAGAAATAACAGCCTTGTAGTTAGTTCAGAGTGAGCACGGGATGCGATAATTTCTAACCATATCCTTTTCCTGTCTTCTTAGCGTCGTTGGGTCACTGGCTTTCTGCAGCGTTTTTGGGGTTCAGGTGATTATATCGTATTCCTAAAAGCTTGGTGTGAGGTGGTGGAGCTATCACCACCACTAAGGGATGGCTTGTATATTTATCATCATGATAGGTTTATATAACAGTGGTATCATACAAACTGAGATGTAGTTTCTGTGCTTGTAAAGGAAATTCGGCTTGGCTGGTGCCTGGTGGGCGTCAAGCTGTAATCCAGCACTTTGGGAGGCGAGGTACGGGGATCACGATGAGAGATCGAGGGACATCCTGGCTAACCCGGTGAACCCCTCTCTACTAAAAAATACAAAAAAACTGCCGGGCGAGGTGGGGGCGGGCGCCTGTAGTCCACCTACTCAGGAGGCGAAAGCAGGAGAATGGCGTAAACCCGGGATGCGGAGCTTGGCAGTGCGCGGGTTGAGTCCGTGCACTGGGCCACTCCGCTGGGCGACAGAGTGAGGACTCCTTCTCAAAAAAAAAAAAAAAAGAAAAAATTCTGAAAGTGGGCCGGGCATGGTGCTCACGCCTGTGATCCCCAGCACTGTGTGCCCATGGTTGGTGCGTGAAAAGATGAGACCATCTTTTTTGGCCACATGGTAATAATCACTGTTTCTCTTGTTGTTGCTGGGTGTATTGTGGGTTGGCCCTGTAGTCCCAGCTACTTTAGGAGGCTGGGCAGGGATATGCGATAATTGGGGAGGCAGAGTTGTTTGATGTCAGATGCCCTTGCTCCAGCCTTGGTGACAGGGCAAGACTCTGTCTCAAAAAAAAAAAAGCCAGAAAATTTCTTGAAGTGGAATGATGTACACCAACTACTGACTTTATAGATAATTACAGGGATGGTGAAAAACTAGTAAATAACTTCACAAAAGAGGCAGCATGATACGTTTAGTGTTTTCTAGAATTTTTTTTTTGTATATTGTATGTAAGAACTTATTGTTTGAGGGAAATATTATGAGGTTTCATTGTTTAAAATCAAGAGTGTATTGTTTACTGTTTCACAGTATTATTTAATATCCAAGTGGTCTCCAATCTCCATTACATAGGGACTGTACAGAGCCTGTGAAGATGTATGAATGTGTATCTTTTATAGTCCACAATACATTTTTGGTAAGATGGAATCACTACCTCTGATCACATATATCAGACTAATGATGGAGAAAGCATTAGGTTTAAGTTGAGGGCTAAGAACTGGTTTGTTTAAAGGTTTAAATTGTTGGAAAGAGCATTTGCCTTCTTTAATGAATGATGGTCTCAGAATTCAGTTGACTTTGACCTAATATTTAAGAATATAAATATATTTTACTTGAAAAGGCTGAGTGTTGCCCTCAAACACTTGCTAAAACTGCCTAGGGCAGGATTCATTGGGGCTTGTGGACAATGTCACCTAATTGCTGAATGTACTCATTATAATATGATATCTGACAAAGGTGGTACAGTGTTTCTGAGTCATTTGGGACCAACTGCGTGGTTGTTTAAAATGCTGATTCCTGCACATGACTCTCCATCTACTGAAGCACAGCTCTTTTCTGTGTTTTGCTTTGCTTTTTGTGTTTAAAGTTTCCCTCAGTGATTCCAGTGCACCTGAAAAGTTGAGAACCACAGGCTTAGTGGTAGGTCGGGGTTTCCCACACTAGGCTGCATGGCATTATCACCTGGGAACGTTAAAAAAAATACAGACATTCTCGATTCTTAGTGTAGTTATGATGTGGATCCCATGTATTTTTTTAAAAGCTCCCCAGATAATTTTGATGTCAGGAGTCACTAGTATAGACTATCTATCTAGTGAGTTGTGTTATAAGCAATGAGATACTTTAAAAGCTACCCAGTAACTCTTGGGATTAATTTTATGAAATAAATTCTGAGCTGCTGCTTTTGATAGTCAGACTTAAGACTGAACCCCAGTAGACAGGCTATAGATACAGAATTCTGGTTAGTTAATTGAACTTTTGTGATGTATTTAAAAACAAATCATATTTATTGAACAAATGGCAAGGCACAAATACTTTCAGAATTGTATTTAAGTTTTGAAGATTTTTTAAAAAGTGAAAATGAATATATATTAGTATCCTCTATTTTAAAGTCAATTGTAAACCAGAAGTACTGTTATTTTGGTGATTAAGATCCAAAACTTTAGCTGTATTTCAGTAACAAAAACATATCTTACTAGACTGAGTGCGATGGCTCACACCTGTAATCCCAGTGCTTTGGGAGGCTGAGGTGGGAAGATTCTTTGAGCCCAGGAGTTCAAGGCTGCAGTGAACTCTGATCGCACCACTGAACTTCAGCCCGGATGAAAGAGAGAGACCCTGTTTCTAAAACCAAAACAAACAAACAAACAAGGTATCTTACTGACTAAACTGGAATGGAACTCATAATTAGTCTTGTATTTTTCCACAAAATAGTGAATTGGTACTTGGGAGACTTCTGTTTTTTGTTGAAAAAATTGCTTTTGTTTTCAAATTATATCACCTGTGTTCTGAACTAAAATGATGGGAGTTCATTTTGTATTTATTTTGCAGTATATATCATGTAAATATGCAAATGTTGAATGTAATGTAGATTGTGTCCTCATTGAGTTTTTGGGTGATACAGTTTATAAATATACCAATTATATACCCTCATACATTCGTCTGATTTTGAGCTTGTAACATGAGAACTGCTTTTTACACATTTAATAAAAAAAGTCTCTGAATTATCTGATATCATTTAGCAAGCATCCTTCTGTGCATAGCACTATATACTCCCCTTCATGTACATTATTTCAAACATTCTACTATCTTCTCTTCTCACCTGTTGTCTTTCTCTTAATGTTCTCCATCTATTGTGTCACAAAATTATGGGTCCACTCATGAAATTTATTTTAGAAAGGTGATAAAAAAGGGAGGCGCGGTGGCTTATGCCTGTAATCTCAGCGCTTTGGAAGGGCAAGGCGGGCAGATCACTTGAGGCTAGGAGTTCGAGACCAGCGCGGCCAACATGGTAAAACCTGTCTCTACAAAAATTACAAAAATTAGCCGGGTGTTGTGGTGCATGCCTGTAATCCCAGCTACTACTCAGGAGGCTGAGGCAGGAGAATCACTTGAAATGGGAGGCAGAGGTTGCAGTGAGCCAAGGTCACGCCACTGCACTCCAGCCTGGGTGACAGAATGAGATGCTGTATCCAAAAAAAAAGGATAGAGACTGGGCACAGTGGCTCATGCCTGTAATCCTAACACTTTGGGAGGCAGTTGGATCACTGGAGGTCAGGAGCTCGAGACCAGCCTCCAGCCTGGCCAACATGGTGAAACCTTGTCTCTACTAAAAATACAAAAATCAGCAGGGTGTGGTGGTGTGCTTGTAATCCCAGCTACTTGGGAGGCTGAGGCAGGAGAATCTCTTGAACCCAGGAGGTGGAGGTTGCAGTGAGCTGAGATCATGCCACTGCACTCCAGCCTGGGTGACAGAGCGAGAGCAAGACTCCATCCCCCACCCCCGCAAAAAAAATAGTGTGAAAAGATTCTAGTCAAACCAATTTCATAAAGTTTTTCACTTTTCTTTGAGAACAAAAATAATACCTACTATTAGTAGTTTGATAGGTAGAAAGTGCTTCAAAAGGATCCCTGCATGTATGACTTATAAAAAATGAAAATTTCCAACTTACAGAATATTTTAGGTCAGATTTTTAACTTTTTTTTAAGGATATTTTATTTAAAAAAAAAAAAAGTGGGCTCTGGGAACAGGGTTAGTCCATTCAGGCCTTCAATCCTAGTGGTGATTTTGTCCTTTTCAATGATGTGGACAACAACTCCACGCCTGACACTGCAACCCGGTCAACCGCATTCAGCGTGGCTTGAGAGATGCTTTTTTTTTCTTTTTTTTGAGAGGGAGTTTTGCTCTGTCGCCCAGGCTGGAGTGCAGTGGCGCGATCCCTCACTGTAAGCTCTGCCTCCCGGGTTCACACCATTCTCCTGCCTCAGCCTCCCAAGTAGCTGGGACTACAGGCACCCGCCACTGCGCCCGGCTAATTTTTTGTATTGTTAGTAGAGATAGGGTTTCACCATGGCCTCGATCTCCTGATCTCGTGATCTGCCCGCCTCAGCCTCCCGAAGTGCTGGGATTACAGGGGTGAGCCACTGTGCCTGGCCGAGATGCTTCCAAACAGGTGTTCTGGATCCATGCTGGGCTCCCAGAGGGACTTGCACATTCTGTACATTTGTTTGGCGCAGGTGCCACTGACCACAAAGTCATCAGTTGCCATGGGGCAGCCGATGACATTGAGAGAGCAAATGAAGGGCTTAAAGCTCTTTGGGTCCAACCCAGAAATGACTGGCTCAGTATAGTAGGGGCCAAACTGTTTCTCATACAAGAGGTTGGCCATTATGCTCATGAGAGTGTAAGGTTTGGTCTGCCAACCTTTCTTCAACTCATACAGGTTCAGCTGGAACTTGAGGCACTGGGCAACTGTCTGGACGTCTGTGGCAAGCCCAGCTAGCCCTGTGTATGGCCAGTCAACTATGAACAACATCTTCTGGAAGTCCGTGGTCACCATCTGGGTCTGGATCCTGAAGCATCTGTCTGGCGATAGCCACACAGTTCTTCCCCTTCATGGCCATAACAGGCCCTCCATTGTAGGACATAATAGACGTGATTGTGGTGAG